CCTCGCCCCCGCCTCGCCCCCGCTGTGGAATGAAGGCTGAACCCGCAGGTGAGTGTTAGAGACCCGGGCGGCCAAAGCGGCGGGGTTGGGGGTCAGCGGTTCCTGGGGTCGGCCTGTCAAGCTGGGGACTCGTATCCCTTCGGGATGGGTATCTGTGACCCTCTGTGATCCTCTGTGAAGAAGCCTCCCTTCGTGGCTTTGATTCCCCCTTTTTTAAAATAAAGGCAAGTCTCCCTTTATTTTCTAGGAACCGCAGCCCAGACAGGACTAAGTCCTGGGATCCCACTTTCCAGCCTCCCCGGAGATACCACGTTACCTTTAGGGCCCTCTGGAACAAGGGTGGTGCCAAGGTCTTAATAGAAATCTGGACCTTCTTCAAGGATGAAGCCAAGTTGGTGGAGGGCTTTGAGTGCTACACCTGAGATGGCCTCTCCGACTTCATGGGGCCCTGATGGGTGGCAGTTAACAAGTTACTTGCTTCCCAGCAGCTGTATTAAAGAGGGAGATTGATTGCTTTCAATCTGGTTTCTCTCCTCCAAGGCCATCCACTTCTGTCTTTGCATTCAGGATGGATGAGCACAAGGAGAGCACGGGAAAAGACAGGTTCAAGGGAATCCCTATTCTAGAAGCCCCCACAGTGGGTAAAGATGAGGGCAAGATAAATAACCACTAACCCTGAACATCCCCCCCCCCAGTTTAAAAATGCCAAACATCTTATCTCTCTTTCTACTCAGACTACTACTATGAGAATACCTGAGTAGGATATAGGAGGTGCTTAGAATATTTTGATATCTAATTTGGGCTTAAGCTGAACTTTTTAATGGATCTCCCCCCCCTTCTGTATTTTCAGAAGATACAGATGGATGGAGCACCGGTGAAAGATGAGGGCAGGTCCTGGAGATCCTTGGGACTGAGTGCTAGACTGAAGAAGGGAGTGGAAAGGATTCAAGATATCAAGGTGCACGAAGCCAAGTTTTCTAGGGATGAAGCTTTGTGTTTTTCCTGAAGTTGAAGGGACAAGCCAGATTTGAAACAGGCATATCTTTCTGGAATGTAACATGATTGCTAAATGCATGGTTAGGTTTAATGTGAAAAATGCCTCATGCATGAGTGAATACCACACAGATTTGAGGAAATGAGTGCAGGAAAGAAATAACAACCAGGATTTTAGGATTCCTTCAGAGTGATATGAAACACATTTGATGTTTCAAATGGCCATTCACTGTGAAATATAATGGGAACATATTATGTCTAAATCTTAAATAAATATGTTTGATTTGCTGAGTACTTAACATTAATTTTGTTTTCTTTCATATACCTTCATAGGTTTCCCTGCTGACACTTAGTTATAGCAATTTGCAACCTAGTGAGGTTATTATACCTCACTGTGCAAATCATTATA